TAATTAAAAACATCTTTTTAAAAAAAGTAGTAAGAGCTTGAAATTTTGTGGTTGATTTTAGCTTGTATGCACTGTACCATGTATATCTGTTTTTTTTATATACTGACGTGCAGATACTACTGTAAACAATATAAATTCAATAGAATCTGCATGTTGGTATATCGAGAGTTGATTGTATATGCTTTGCAAATACGTACGTACGTAGTCATTTATAGCATCTTCTCTGTTTAACCTAATATTTCTAGTATTTGGTCCGCCTGCCAAAGAATTTTAGATCCCAAATTTTGAATCCTTTAACGTTAACAAAGAAAGGATTAACGCGCAATATTTTTTTATACTTGCAATAATCGACATATTTATTTGTCATTATTTAAAAATCGACACCCCCAGTTTTTTTCTTACTATTTCTAATATATATCCTCTTTATTATGTACTTTAGTAAGCTAACTTGAGAAAATCTCAATATGCGAATATAGATCATTAACCAAACTATTTTTAAATCCCACCAAATTTCAATTACATAATCCTAATTGATAGTTTTTAATTTTTCACAAAAAAAATAATTTTCTAATTCGATACCTGAATACTTAAATGAACCTGAGACACAGAATAAATTTTATTCATATATATAAACAAGATATACTGTATCGTGTATATACCTACATAATAAACCCACTCATTTATTATATTATATTAACATTATATTTTTCTATTTAATTACATGTATCACTATGGACAAGACGTTTGTTGTTGTTTAGTACATGTACCTGTTGTGCTAAATGGAGATTCCCTCCGTCATTTATTCATTCATTGATACGTATTACAGTACATGTACATGTACAATTTTCACATGGTAACATGCCGATCTTAAAGCAACATGCGTTACCATTATAATCGTAGTCAGAAAACGGTTATTCCCTTAACGTCGTTTGCCGCGTTTATTCCAAATTCTTATTATTTTCTCGTCACTTGATTTATCCTGTTCACATGCTGTTTTGTTTCAGCAAAATGTTTGATTCATTCATTTTATTCCATACATAGCGATAGGATTTTTTATCCTGGAATATTAATCTACTAATCGTCACCGCTACCAGCTGCCCATAAACATTATTGTGAATAAAAAAATAAGGTTATACAAAAATTTCGTGTTATTTTTTTCGATATCATTCATTCACATTATTTTAGCCATAATAAGATGTAGCCAAATAAAGATACAGTGGGGACAGCATAAAACATCAACTTTAGTGACGTCACGCCAACTGATATAACTTAGGAAGGAGGAGTGATACAAGAGATTTTTCAGCCAAACAATAGCTTTTTGACTAAGCTGCAATTTGACTAAAATTTCCTTTTTTTCCCCTTTATAGCTCCTATGGTCCGGTGATATTTGGCCACCATATAAAAGGTTAGGAACGATGATTTTTTCCGGTCGGATAAATCGCATAATTATTAAAAATGTCCGGGTAATCTCATGTAATTAGGAAATTTTCGATTTTTCAGATAATATTGCACTACACGTGACTAAAGATTAACAGAAATTATCATGATCAATAAGATGATCCAGAAATTCGTTACGGGAAAAAGGTCTTCACAAAGAATCTGTACGAGAAGTTGAGGGTTCCCGAATTTTTTTGATCTATATTTAAAAATATCTAAAGCTGAGGAAAATAACGATAATGCACGTCACGAAGTCTTAAGAGCATATTACTTCCTTGGAGAGGAACTGGAAAAACGCCTTACCGACTATAAACAATCTATGGAAGAACATGAGGCTCAGAAGAAGGTCAACGATGAGGTTAGAGATCAGCTCCCAAATGAAGTTTCCAAGAATGCACTCAGAAAGAAAACAGAAAGAGCCAGAAAAATCTATGATCTTTTTTTTCGTATTGGTGGAGATAAAGTTCAAAGGATGACATATATCCAACGAATAAAAACGTTTACTGCACCATCGATTTCAAATTTAAGTTCGGAAAATATCAAATATGTAGCATTACAGGTTAGGAAGAATACTAGGCAAACTTAAATTCCGGGTAAAATATTATGTCACGTGATGATGACGTATTGTCACGGGTTGATCGTGATTAGGCGTAATCGACGATTTTGCCTATAACAATGGGTTGGGGGAAGTAATTAGACTGAGTAGTATTCGGACGTTTCTAATTCCCGTGTCGATATCTACGGATATCGTTCAGTATGACGGTAAAGAGGGGAGTTTAGTTGGGTCGGTTTGTAGGTAAGATGTTTTTGGGTTTAAGTTTTTACGTGACGGGTTATTGACAA